AGAGAAGGAGAAGGAGAAGGAGAAGGAGAAGAAGAAAGAAGGAGGTCCAGGTTTGCCCCTGGGGTCAGTTCAGCCCTCGATTGTTGAGGTTTGGCCCCGTCCCAGAGGTTTTTTTCTGCAGAAGGAGAAAATAACAGGCAGGCAGTGCCGGAACAGCCCTCCCACCTCCTGCTCTCGATTTTACACCCACTTGGGTCCCAGAAATGACTCTGTGGGCACGGCTGTGGCTTTCCTGCCCGCCCATGAGTGGGTGCCTGGCACCAGGGGCTCCACTTCCAGCCCAGAAATGAGACAGGAGCTTCGAGCTGGTTCCTGGAAGGGGACACGTGGGTGGTTGGGCAAGGCAAGATTGTCCCCCCAGGATGGGGACAGGGAGAGGGACAGGTGGGCTGAGGACACAGGAGAGGCAGGAGCCTCTGTATTGTGCTTGGAGAACAGGAGAACTGGGATGGCTGAGCCAGGGATCTGGGAATCAGAGCACTGGGATGTCCTCTCCAGGCACCCAGGGAAGGAGGGGAGAGATGTGTCTTCTCCTGCAGCACAAGGGAAGGAAAACCCCCCATGGGATGGGTTTGGAGACCAACCAAGTGTCCCAACACCAGGAGAGAGAAGATGTGAGATCTAGCCCAGCCTCCACGGGCTCACAGGGCTAAGGTGGCCCTGTCACCTGCCCCAAAGGAGCAGTTTAGGTGGCCAGGGCTGCTTTGGTGTCCCCACACTGTCCCCACAGCCAGCCTTGGGTGTCTTGGGTGCAACAGATGGTCCCAGGATCAGAGAAGTTCTTGGTTCCTGGAAGTTCTTGGGTGCCAGGGAAGTTCTTGGGTGTCATGTCTTGGGTGTCACAGACTGTCCTGGGTGCCATGGACTGTCCTGGGTGACACAGATGCTTTTGGATGCCACGGACTGTCCTGTGTGCCATGGATGATCCCAATTGCTATGGATTGCCCTGGGTGCCATGGATTGCCCTGGACCACGGATGATCCCAAGTGCCATGGATAACTCTAGGCATCATGTATGATCCCAAGTGCCATGGATTGTCCTGGGTGCCATGGATGACTCCAGGTGTCATGGATGATCCCAAGTGCCATGGATTGTCCTGGGTGCCATGGAGGGTGCCATGGATGATCCTGGGTACTATGGATGACTCCAGGTACTACAGATGATTCCAGGTACTTTGGATAATACCAGGTGCCATGGATGATCCCGAGTGTCATGGAGGGTGCCATGGATGATTCTGGGTACTATGGATGACTCCAGGTACTATGGATGATCCCAAGTGCTGTGGATGATCCCAAGTGCCGTGGATGATCCCAGGTGCCATGGACTGTCTTGGGTGCCATGGATGATCCCAGGTGCCATGGTTGATCTCTGGGTGCCATGGATTGTCCTGGGTGCCATGAATGATCCCAGGTACCATGGATGATCCCAGGTACTACGGATGACTCCAGGTACTACAGATGCTTCCAGGTACTATGGATGATCCCAAGTGCCATGGATGATCCCAGGTGCCATGGATTGTCCTGAGTGCCGTGGATGATCCCAGGTGCCATGGATGATCTCGGGTGCTATGGACGATCCTGGCTACTATGGATGATTCCAGGTACTACAGATGATTCCATGCACTACGGATAATCCCGGGTGCCATGGATGATCTCAGGTGCCATGGATGATCCTGGGTGCCATGGATTGTCTTGGGTGTCATGTATCATCTCAGATGCCATAGATGATCCCAAGTGCCACGGATGGTCCTGGGTACTGTGGATGACTCCAGGTACTATGGATGATTCCAGGTACTATAGATAATCCCAAGTGCCATGGATGATCCTGGGTGCCATGGATGATCCCAGGTATCATGGATGATCTCAAGTGCCACGGATGATCCCAGGTATCACAGATAATTCCAGGTATTATGGATGATCCCAGGTACCATGGATGGTCCAGGGTGCCATGGATGTTCCCAAGCATTATGGATGATCCCATGTCTCATGGATGATCCCAAGTGCTATGGATGTTCCCAGGTATTACAGATGGTCCTGGGTGCCCTGGGCTGCCCTGGTTGCCCAGTTCCCTTTTGCTGCCATCCACCCCCTCCCCTGTTTCCCTGTGCCCCCATCCCACAGTTCCCCACACCTCCCTGCTCCTTCCAGAGGCCCCACAGCCCCCAGGGATGCTCCTCCCCCCTCCTGGCCACCCCTCAGCCTGGCAAAGTTGGCACCAAGCCAGGACTGGGGTCATGGGAGGACACCCAAAGCTCTCCAGGCCTGGAGCCCCAGAGAGACCCCAGGCTCAGCTTTGCTCAGGAGCTTCCAACCTCCACGACAACCCCCCCACTGACCCAAAAATATGCAGGGGAACCCCCCAGTTCTCCTTCCTGCAAACCAGAAGCTCCTCTGTAGGTCTCTGGAGGGTTCTGGGGACATTGTGGTGGCTGATTTTGCACCCAAACAGCAGCAGGAAGAGGATTCTGCCAGGACGGGCTGGTGGGAAGGACAAGTGGAAGCAGAAGCTCCTCCTGCAGAGAACAACTCTCTCCACAGGGACAGGAACCCACCACGGGGCAGAGAAGCTGTGGCTGCCCCTGGATCCCTGGGAGTGTCCAAGGCCAGGTTGGAGAAACTTGGGATGGTGGAAGGTGTTCCTGCTCATGGAGGGACTGGATGGGCTTTAAGGTCCCTTCCAACCCAAACCATTCCACGATTCCATGAAATGCCGTGAGGGCAGAGGGACATCTCCAGCCCCAAACACCCCACACCACCTTCCCAGCCCCATCCCAGCACTTACTGGTTCCTCTCCAGCACCAGGATGAGCTCTTTGCCCTCAGCCTTCACAGCCACCTCTGCCCGGGCAGGCGCCGGCACCTGGAAAGGAAAGGATGGAATGGGATCAGAAAGGACGTCCCTGTCCCCAGCACCTCCCTCTGCTCTCCGAGATCAGGGCACCTGGAAAGGGAGAGAGGGAATGGGATCAAAAAAGACATCCCTGTCCCCAGCACCTCCTGGGATCAGGAAACACATCCCTGTGCCCAGCACCTCCCTTTGCTCTCCAAGATCGGGAACTTGGAAAGGGAAAGAGGGAATGGGATCAAAAAAGGTATCCCTCTCCCCAGCACCTCCCTCTGCTCTCCAAGATCAGGGCACCTGGAAAGGGAAAGAGGGAATGGCATCGGGAAACACATCCCTGTCCCCAGCACCTCCCTCTGCTCCCCAGCTCAGGGCACCTGGAAATGAGAAGAGGGAATGGGATCAGGAAACACATCCCTGTCCTCAAGCACTTCCCCTCTGCTCTCCAGTTTAGGGCACTTGGAAAGGGAAAGAGGGAATGGGATTAGGAAACACATCCCTGTCCCCAGCACCTCCTGGGATCAGGAAACACATCCCTGTCCCCAGCCCAGGCCACATCCCAGCCTCTCCTCCCTGGTTCTGCTCCATCCACTCCATCCCCCGCCACAACCCTGTGGAAGGTGAGATATAACCCCTGATTTCCTGAGAATTCCCAGCCCAGCACGGGGATAACAGAGGATTCCCACTGGGATTGACCCCACAGGGATGGGGGTGAGGCAGCAAATCCCAACCCTGCCAGCAGCTTCCCCTGGGAAAGGCAGAGGGGAGACCCAGGATGGGACACGGGATGGGGAGCGGGGTCTCCGTGTGCTCCATCCCACCAGGGATTTATCCCACCAGAGATCCTGATCCAGGAGAAAAGGGCCTCACCCCTGGGTGGGTCTGTGCCCCTGCAGGGTGTGGAAATAATCACCAACCACCGGGATAATGGATCGGATAAAAACACCGGGAGCAGCAAAAGGGAGGGAGTGACTCAGCTTCCCCAGGATGCCGCTGGATTTACTCACTCCCTCGCTTTTGGAAGGTGTTAAATGGGAATCTGACCTTTGGATCCAACCCAGCACGTGACAGGATGGGCTGGAGCCCAAAATGCTGCCCTTTCCTGATGTCCCCACATCCCATTCCCAGCTGGGGACACCGAAAACATCACCTGGCTCTTGGCTGTGGCCTGGATGTGGCTCTGCCTCCCTCACGTTGTCTCTCTCCATCCATGGTGGATACAGGGAACCCTTGGGATACCCCACAGGACCCCACCAGTCCCTCCCCATCCATGATGGATGTAGGGAGCCCTTGGAATCTCACACAGGACCCCATCAGTCCCTCCCCATCCATGATGGATACAGGGAGCCCTTGGGATCCTCCAGAGAATCCCATCAGTCCCTCCTATCCCTGAGGAATGCGGGGAACCCTTGGAATCTCACACAGGACCCCATCAGTCCCTCCCCATCCATGATGGATACAGGGAGCCCTTGGAATCCCCCATGGGACCCCACCAGTCCCTCCCCATCCATGATGGATGCAGGGAACCCTTGGAATCTCACACAGGACCCCATCAGTCCCTCCCCATCCATGATGGATGCAGGGAACCCTTGGAATCTCACACAGGACCCCATCAGTCCCTCCCCATCCATGATGGATGCAGGGAGCCCTTAGGACCCCCCATGGGATTCTATCAATCCCTCCCCATCCACGACGGATGCAGGGAGCTCTTGGAATCCCCGTGGGATTCCATCAGTCTCTCTCATCCATGAGGGATGTAGGAAACCCTTGGAATCTCACACAGGACCCCATCAATTCCTCCCCATCCATGATGAATGCAGGGAGCTCTTAGAAACCCCCATGGGACCTACATCCCTCCTCATCCATGAGGGATGTAGGAAACCCTTGGAATCTCATACAGGAGCCCATCAGTCCCTCCCCATCCATGATGGATACAGGGAGCCCTTGGAATCCCCCATGGGACCCCACCAGTCCCTCCCCATCCATGATGGATACAGGGAACCCTTGGAATCTCACATAGGACCCCATCAGTCCCTCCCATCCATGATGGATACAGGGAGCCCTTGGAATCCCCCATTGGACCCCACCAGTCCCTCTCATCCATGATGGATGCAGGGAACCCTTGGAATCTCACATAGGACCCCATCAGTCCCTCCCATCCCTGAGGGATGCAGGGAGCCCTTGGGATTCCCCATAGAATCCCATCAGTCCCTCCCATCCATAATGGATGCAGGGAGCCCTTGGAATCCCCCATGGGACCCCACCAGTCCCTGCCATCCATGACGGATGCAGGGATCCCTCAGGATCTTCCATGGGATCCCATCAATCCCTCCCCATCCATGAAGATCCATGGTGAGGTTTTCCCAGTTCTGGAGGGCAAGGGAAGAGCAAGGAGCCATCTCTGCAAGGCTCTGGCTTCAGCTGCTCTTGGAATCACAGGGTTTTGCAGCTGGAAAACCAGGAATGCAGCAGGGAGGGGGGAATATTGGATGATTCAGAACTTTGGATTTTGCAGCTGGAAAACCAGGAATGCAGCAGGGAGGGGGGA